ACTTAAATCTCCAATGTTAGCTTGTCTTAAAACTTAGACATCTATTTTCCATTGGAAACATCCTTTAACCAGCAAAACTAGACTGGTGTCTGGTTACCACTACCAGCTGTTCTGATCAAGCACACAATAGATGGATTCTGATAGAATGGGAGGAAAACATGGAAGAGAACTCAAAATAGATAAGTAAATAATTTTTAAAAGAGACAAAACTCAAATTATTTAAAAGTCCCAACTTCCTGGACCACTTGGGACGCGTGGCTCCCTGAGACAACCACTCTGAGATGCGCTTTAACCTGTGAACCCACGCTGTCCTGGAAGCCGGCCTTCAAGGAAAAAACAAATTGTGACAGTAAATAACGGGCTTTGCCCCTGAGCGCAGCACTCCATCTGTGCGTGGCCAAAAGGTAAACAACTGCTTGAAAGTCAAGATGGGAAGATAAAGGGGCAGGAAAACTACAACACTGGAAATGGAACAGCCAGACCTACAGAGCATCTATTGATTATGGAAAATGATAACTAATATCACAGCACAATTGGTATAGAAATCATCGACTGCACACAGAAACCATGTTGTGTAAACTTTCACAGAAAACACAATAAAATGTTATTTTTCTCAAAAGGAGAAGAAGCATTCTTTGTGCTTAAATTGGTTTCAAGGTTCATCAAGTTGGAACAAAATATCACTGTTTGTTTTGTTATTGCCGAAACTTTTTTTTTTTGGCAAAACTTTTACGCCTACCCTGAAGGCAAGCGGATCATCGAAGGTGTTGGTGATTGTAATAGGAAATATGTTACAGTGAGAATTTACGGTAACCACTTTTGTTTGGATAATAGAAAATGTATTTTTTTAGGCCAATGATAAGAAAACAAATAAGAAGCAGTGGGGGGAATAGCAATGTCTAGTTATGGGTCCCTCTTCTGTAGCACCAAGAAATCATTTGAATATTTAAGGTTAGGGAGTTTCCAAAACTCCACTGCTCAAAATCCCCCTTTTCTTTCCATTGCTGACTCTCTTTCTGAAAGCTCAACTTCTGACAGAGAGTCTGCAGACAGACCGAGAGAACAGTGCTGATCAGGAGAACGGACATTATCTCGTGACAGATATCCAAAGACTTGCACACTTTCTTACCATTAAAATAAAATAGATGTCTATCAATAGACATATATTCTAAGGATTTGTGTAATATCTATGGGATATCAGGGGGCAAGTGAATTGTGGCCAAGGTTTGCGCAACCAAAACTTGCAAGAAAAAAAATGTGATAATTACATGTCTAGAAATACATTATTATCATGGCCAGCAGCGAACCAAAAGTCAACCAAGTTCACTGCCATAGATTCTATTCCAACTCAAAGCAACCCTACAAGACAAGGTAGAACCGCCTCATCTTTCCTCCATGGAGCAGCCAGCGGTTTCAAACTGCTGACCTGGCAGTTAGCAGCCTAGCATGTAACCCACCACACCACCAGAGCTCCTTGGCAAATGTTGATTCAAAGCCCTAAAACTGTAATTTTAAAATTATTTAATCATTTTAAATAATTATTTAAATTGGTTCCCCTTTATGAAGTCTAATTGGTCTAGTTTCAGAATAAGAAAACATTTTCTAGAAATAAATGTTTCTTAGAGTAGAATACTTTTTTTTAATACCAATCTTCTTTCAAGACTAAGACCACCTACAGTTCCCCTGAGAAGCACAGTAAGCAATACAGCCACTTTTACCCACAGACTTTTAAGATTTTATGAAAATATTTGAGGCTCGGGCTGCAGTGTGGGAGATGAAAATGTATTCGCTTCCACGTGCAAACATCACATAATAAGTTTTAATTACACACCAATAAAATGCAACATCAGTATCAGTCCATTAACTGTAACTCACCTCATACTTGTTATCTTCATATGGCTTTTGTTTCACAAGATAAAGAGATAATTCATAGCAAAACTCTAATTTTTTAGCTAGAACAAAATTTAATCATTTTAATACAGTATGTAGGTGAGATTTATATGGTTGGTTTGGGGGGGGGGGTTATGTCATTGTATCCAAAAGACAGAGTAAGGTCTACAGAAGACGTCCAACGATTCTGCCATGAGCTTCTTCTACAATGACAAAGAGGGCGAGACCACTTACTTGAATGGCCCCTCCGTCACTCGGCCATCTGGGTAAGCCTTTTCTACCCCGGTGTTGTTCGCCGTCCACCACACGATGGAGCCTGACGTCCGGCTCACTCCCAGGAATACCTTACATGGGATTGTCAGTCTGGACCCTGAAAAGCACAGGCCGAAGCCATCAAACCCCGCGCAGCAAGGGAATTCCCTGAGATCGCCAGCAACCCGGAGCTGTGGGTGCTTCCTCCCCTGGCAATCTCCCCCACCAACCAATTATTTCCCTTCAAGGAAATTCTGTTTCCTCAAATGAGCCTGATCACCCAGAACTGTACTATCCATCAATCATTTTCCAGTACCGACAACTGGTCTCATAGGAGATAAAACCATGCAGGACAAAGACTTCCTGGAGGTCCCTTGTCTCCTGCAGGACACTGACGTCAAAGGTCATCTTCCACCCAAGTTTCCACGATGTACCTCAAAAATCCAGAGTCAATGTATTTCCTATCACGGCCAACCTCAACCCTAAAATTTCCCTTATCTTCCACCGAAAAAAAAAGCGAAAGCAGAGATATTCTCCGTTTTCAGGTGGTTCTCACGTAAAGTGACCCTTTGGGAAGTCACTGTATTTTAAATAAACGGTGCCCTCTGCAGCGGTGCAAGGCATCCCTGTCCGTGGTTCGCCCTTCTGCATCACCAAAGGAGAGGAGAGGGGCAATGTCAAACCCTTTGCAGCCTTTGTTTCCCCTCCTGGGTAATAACTCAAACCTGAAATGAATGAGACAGCTGTCTGGGCGTCCACTCAGGTGAGCCCACCCCTCCCCTGCCCAGTGGAGCGGAAAAAACGATTGCGCTTATCTGGATAGCCCTTCCAACGTGGGGAATGGGGTTTCCAATAAAAACGGAGGGCAGCACCCAGTCCTGCTGAGAGTTCGTTCAGTGTGGACACTGGTGGACGGACAACGTAGTCACAGAAATGCAGTCCAGACACAGAATGGAAGAGACAGCGATAAGAGAGAAGACAGCGCACTTGGTAGACCGATGAGCATGTGGTCTCTGTTCTGTTTCGCAGCGCCCCCAGTGGACAGATTTGTTAGTGCGTGTTCTCTATTCCGCTAGGGAGAGGATGGTCTTGGAAGTGTGAATACTATGAATAATGTACTGAGCAAAACTGTCTTCAAGAATGATTGCAAAATGAATGCATTCCAAGAAAAATAAAAGCTGAGTTTATATCCACCAGATCTCCCCACAAGAAATGCTAAGAGCGTGTCTTTGACATGGACCCTGCAACAAGCCACAGAAAGAAAGAAATTGGTTAAAGGTAACTACAAGCGAAAATATATTTTTGCTTAATGATTCTAACCACCACGTTCTCTATGCTTCATCATGACAAAGCATACAAAATAAGTATAAATTTGTATTAGAGGGCATATTATGTACCAAGACCTGATTGGTGATAACAAAACAAGCCGGGAGGAGGGAGAAATGGTATGATCATAGAATTTTTATATATTACTGAAGCTAAATTGGTATCAATTTAATCCAACTCAGGTTGGTATAAATACAAGATGTTAAATGTAATAGTCCCAGTGAACACAAGGAAAATATCTTCAAAATGTACCTCCAAAAATGGTAAGGAAAAAGAATTAAAATAATTTGCTGTGGAAAAAAGCAACAAAGCACAAAAACTAAAGTATTAAAGAAAATGAGAAACAAAGAAAGTTCAAGGCACACAAATAAACAAATGAAAAATTGATGAAACTAAGTCCTTCTGTATCTGTAATTACATTACATGTGAATGGGCAAAGTGACCCAATCAAAAGGCAGAGAGTGGCAGAATGGATAAAAGTCATGATTAAACTAAGAGGGGTTACCCCCCCCAAAAAAAAAACCCTGAATTTTTTTCCCAAGCTATATATTTAAACTTTTTTACAAAACAACCTTACCACCTTCAAAGTATTCTCCATTACACTTAAGATATTGGTCAAATATGCAATTCCATTCTTGGAAACCTTTTATCATTTGTTTATTTGTTTGGTGTCTTCTGATGCCTGTTATCAGATCCTATCGACACTTCATGATCGCACCAGCGGATGTGCTTCTTCCATGTGAGCTTGTTACTTCTCTGCTAGATGGTCACTTATTTAACGTCAAGCCTTTAAGACCTCAGATGCTATATCTTTTCCAACAGTCTGTTTGTTTGTTTGTTTGTTTGTTTGTTTAACCTTTTTCAAACTCATCTGTTTGGATGGCTGACTACACTGCCCTCATTTTGTTCTTCGCCTCTTCTACATCATCAAATTGCTGACTTTTCATGTTCTTCTGCATTTTCAGAAACATAAAGACGTCGCAAGCCTCGACAAAAACGGGTGCACTGAGACGGCTGCATGAGCAGGAGCATTGTCATGGTGGCGAAACCAGGCCCCATCTGCCACAAAGCAGGCCTTTTTTTGCCACACACTCTTTTCTTTTCAGAACCTCTAAATAAAAAGCTTGATTAACAGTCTGACCTGGGGGAAAGAACTCCAAATGAACTATGAGTTGACATTTCCGACCATTCCGGAAGTTGATAGGTGTCTAGAATGAGGTTTGTCATCAATTGACATTCCACCTTTTTTGGAATGAGAAAACCGCTTGAGTTTTTCCCATAGTGCTGTCCTTATAAGCTGTGTTCAATGTCACAACAGTCTCTGCACGTTTTTTCCTGAGTAGGAAACAAAATTTTACAGCCGCACACTGTTCTCTTAAATTGGCCATCACTGAAAATGAGGTTCGAGGGAAACCGCTTTTATGAAAAAATTCACTGTGCCAGAGAGAACATTCCCAGGCAACGCCACTGGGTGCACAAACTCAGATTGAGTTGCTTGATACTTGCCTAGTGGGGAAAATGCATACTGCAAAATTCTACTCCACCCAGCACAATTCCAGTTGTTGTTTTGTTTGGTTTTGCTTTGTTTTGTTTTGGGAGGGGATACCCCCTTGCATATGCTGTCTACAGGAGACACAAAAGTGAAAGGGTGGGGAAAAATTCCATACAAATAAAAAAGGAGAGCTGAGTGGCAATTTAATGGCAAACAAAATAGACTTTGAGTCAAAATATCTTAGAAGACATGGAGAAGAGAATTATACAGCGATAAAAGGTTCAATTCATCAGAAACTGTAACAAAGATGCAGCTAACATCAGAGCCCCTAAATATATAAACCAAGTCATGACAGAATTTCAGGAGAAACAGAGACTTCTGCAACCTTAGCTGGAGACCTTCATCACTAGACAAAATACTGAGGGAAAATTATAGAGAAACAGATGGCCTGCAGAACACTGTGAGTGGAAATTCACTAAACCTAGAAAGAGAAGTCTGGAGGTTTTTGCATAATTCATAAAGACAGTAAGCATCTTTGTTATTCTCATCAGCAATAGCTCTCATTTCATATCTCTTTCCAGATCCA